CACATATCTGAATGTGTGTGTGTGTGTGTGTGCATGTAGGGCAGTGAGGAGCTCCAGCTGTCCGTCGATCACATCAAACAGATCATCTGCATCCTGCGAGACTTCATCCATTCCCCCGAGCGGCGCGTCATGGCCGCCACCATCTCCAAGCTCAAGCTGGACCTGGACTTCGACTCCACCTCCATCAACCAGATCCAGCTGGTGCTGTTTGGCTTCCAGGACTCGGTCAGCACACACACACACACACACACACACACAGACACACACACACACACACACACACACACACTGGCTCAAAAACTGATGATGGTAGAAAACAGCAGCTCGGTGCAGGAATGTACCACAGCGATTCAAACAGCTGAGAGAGCAAATATATTTAAAAATGTTTAAATGTCTTAATCTTAAGGCAACATTTCTAAAGTTAACTAAAACACAGATGCTGTAATAATAAAAACATAATTATTCTATTCTGTTATATTCCATTACTGCCAATAGTTTCTATATACTGGAGACTTAATGTGAATCTTCTCATTAGTTTGTACAATTCACAATTATGTTTGTAACATTTATGACAAAGTTTCATTGAATCAAGGACCGTGGTGGAATTAAGAAATATTGAAGGTCAATTTGAATTAATGTTGTAAAACCAATGATTTATGATTTACGGAAATGCCAAAAAATTACAAATCTTTTCCTCCCCAATTATTCTCAAATAGACTTAAACAAAACAAATCGAGGAAGTGATATCTCTGATTTTAGATTTGAAGTTAGTCTCATCTGTTTCTGCTTCTCAGGTGAACAAGGTCCTGAGGAACCATCACATTAAGCCCCACTGGATGTTCGCCATGGACAACATCATCCGCCGAGCCGTGCAGGCCGCCATCACCATCCTGATACCAGGTGGGTGCTCAGACTGAGCTCTGGCTGCTTCTGGTGGACACACGCAAACATTTAGAGTCGCTGTTAGAATGAATTTGAATTTGGATGCATGAATAAAACAAATGTGTTTTTCTGTGTATTTGTATATACGGTTGTTTTTCTATTTTCAAGTTAATTCTTTTTTGATGAACCTTTATTTAACTGTAAAATATTGATGATGACAACACCAGTTTTTTTTTGGATGTGCATTCTTTGTCTGTGGCCTCAACCTTTGACCTTTAAACTCTCACCACAGAGCTACAGACCCACTTCGGCCCGGCGTCCGAGTGCGAGGGAGCGGAGAAGGAAGACGAGGTGGATGAGGAGGAAGCGGAATTCGGTCCCGTTTTAGCTCCGCACGCCGACGACCCTGGCACTACAACCGACCCCGTCCACTCTGCTGTCAGCACGCTAAACTCTGCCCACTCCCACGAGCACCAGCGCTCACCTCAGCAGCTGGGAGCTCAGCTGGGACGTCTCAAACAGGAAACGAACAGGTGAACGCACGCAAACACAGAAAACCAGTTTTTCCATCCGTCTGTCCTCGAGGGACACGAGGGAATTTCCTCTTATCCGGTACAAACATTAATTTGGACTCGAGGACAAGGTCATCAGTTTTAATTCATAACTCCAGCCCTTGTGCAGAAGCTATGTGTTCGGCGGAGGCAGTCATTTTCTTTGTTGTGATTAAATTAAGGCTGGGTAGTTCCGTTTCAAAATTTCAACACGTACTTTCCAACAGACACACACACGCACAGAACATTGCCCCAGGTAGTCCCACATATCGTGCGCTGAACTTGTGATGATGAAATTCTTCTCACATCCGTGACTGGAAGTGGAGAAGAATGTGCCCTCACCAGAGAACACTCCCACAATTATATTAAGAAAAAGCAGAAGCTCCAGGGCTGCGCACAAACACTGGGTTTCTCTAAAAACCACAGAATGACGACACCAGAGCGACAGAGCGACAGATACACGAACATCCACAGAAAAACCTCACGTTACATTAGATTTCGTCAACAATTAAAACACGTAGACGTTTTCACGATAATAAGGAGAAACCCCTGCCCCCTGCAGGCTGCTGGAGGAGCTGCTGCAAAAGGAGAAGGAGTATCAGCAGGTCCTGAAGGTGACGCTGCAGCAGAGAACACACGACCTGGAGCTGGTCAGAGTCCGACACAGACCACCAGGTAAACACCCGGACGCATCTACCGTCTTCTTTCTCATGCATTTGTCTCTAAATCTTTTTTATTTTTCTCTTTCAGACATTTCACCTCCGTCCATCTTCCAAATCCCAGCGGACCACGAGCCGGACAAGCAGCTCGTGGACTGGCTGAAGGAGCAGGGGGCGGACGCTGACACCATAGATAAGGTGCAGTACCTGAACAGCGTATTTCCTTTCGTTCGTTAGCACCGACTGCCTCACAGCTGGTCCTCTTTGTTTTTCTTTCCCAGTTTGTTCTGGAGGAATACACGCTGACGGACATTCTGACTGACGTTACCAAAGATGACCTCCGCTCTCTACGTCTACGGTATCTCCTCTCTTATATATCTGCGTTTCCTGGGCGTAGACTGTAAATAAATGGCGATCTCGCTGCAAAATCAAGGTTTCCCTGAGGGATGTTTTTACTTTAGCACACTTTGCATTGCGTTTGTTTACTTTAAATGGCCTCCAAGGTGCCAAGGAAAGTGTTTTTAGCTTTTTATGGCTTTTAATTGTAATTGTTTTGCACAAATTCAATTCCTGCCACTGGTGACGCAACCAAATCTCTGACAGGGACGTTGCATTAGGCCACTTTTGCCTCAGGTCCCCAAAATTCCTTGAAATGTTCCCGTGTCTGAGATTTAGTTTCAGCAGTAAAATTCACAGCCTGATAAAATATCTTTCAAGAGATGATGATGAAGGTGAGGTCACAGCACCTATTTTAATCTTATTTTAATTTACAACCGCACATTAAGTCTCATACCCTCCTACATCTGTCTGCCATTTTTAACCTGCTTCTCCCCTCAGGGGCGGAGTCCTCTGCCGCATCTGGCGAGCCATCCAGCGGCACCGAGAGCGAGAGAGGCTGACGAGCGACAGACGCTCGGAAGACGATGCATGACGGCACACATGGACTCTGATTTGCAGAAACATGCACATCCGCTCTCTGCTGGCACGGCCACGTCTCGTTCTCTCTCCTCTCTCTGCCTTTAGTTGTTGTTTCTCACACGACAAACTGAGTCTCTGCTCGTCCGTGCTTCAGACCTGATCAGACCAAAGCGCTTTGTCTTTATGTGCACTTAAATATGTATTTAACAAGTGTATTTATTTGTGCTTAAGGATTTTCTGTGATTTTGCATCTTAGCAAACGAGGAACCTGCCAATTCTCTCCTCTGTGTATGAAACATCAGCTGTAGACTTGAAACGTTGGAGGAGACACATGATGCTTTTCAGTTTTACTTTTTACTTCAAAAGGTTTTGTGAATATACAAGTTGTGCATAGTTAAAAAGAGTCTGTGGTAACGGGAGCTCCTCTTCCCCTCAGAAAACACTGAAGCTGCTGAAACACATCGTCAGTCCTCTTCTGCATCATCGTTATCTTATGACATCACAATGCCCCACATCTGCATAATACACGTCCAGCTGCGTAACTGCCACGCCCCCTTTAAAAGCCAAGTTAAGAGAGAGCGGCGGCCATGTGTAAAAAGTATTTCCATTGCGCACAAACGAATGCATATTTTATCTCCTGCCGTCCTCGGTCACCTAAAGCCTTAATCCACACTGAGAGGATTGATTGAACCATGCACACATCATGGCTGCCAGTCTGCCTTGACATTTGTATGCAATGTATTTATTATGTATGTGTACGAATTCCTTGATATTCTCAATGAATTCTCTGTTACTGTCTCCTCTGTGTGAACCTGTATTAAATTAAAATTTTGTATTCCAACTGTTAAATGTAATTATGTATGTGCTTGTGTGTTTCCTGGTTGCTTTAGAGCTGCAATAAACCTGGAATAATGAATCTGTCTCTGAGGTGTTTATGTGCGAAGGGATAATTAGGATAGAAATGAAATGTCACACTTTCACCCTGTCGAAGCCATTCCCCACGTTTGAATACCTTTAAAATACTTCTGTCCTCGTCGGGATTCATTCTGTTTCCTGCCATAATCTTCACAGAGTATCACATAATAAGAGGAGACAGAGCAACTCAAGACACAAATCTCCCTTTATACCGTTGTTCTTTGCCAGAGTGTCTTTAACACCTGCAGTAAATACCTAAGCCTCTTCTGCTCCCCTAACCTCTTACACCTTCATACTTTCACTTCCTCCCTCGGCTCTGCAGATTACATCACCTCGTCTGGCTGCCTGCCACTCCTTTTTCACCTTTGGTCTAAGTAAACTACCTGTTGAGTCATATTCCTGAAGTTAGCCTTTATGTAGCACATTCCTGTGTTGCAATAACTCAACTAGCTTACACTCCCTCTCTTGGAGGGGCGATCTGAATCACTGCAATTACCCTGTTGTATTGAAAATTATTCTCTGAGCATCGCAGAGTTAGAAAACAGTTTCATAAGCACGCTGATACAAACCTAACATGTTTAGAATCATATTTAACACAACGTACTCGTGAGTTTAAGGATCACCTAAACAAGAGTTTATCCTCTGGAGACCGTGAATGTTTCCATAAAGTTTCACTCTGGGTTAAAGAGAGTTGATGCTTCTCGATTTGCTCCCACTGCACGAAAATGAAGCCGAAATACCCTGGATAGAGGTGCAGCCATCTTGTGCTGGTGACGTCTGCCGCCAAGGTCCCGCCAATACTACTGCCTGTCTGTCCATCATGACCGAAACAATATTTGAGAAAAGTTTATTTCACACGTACTTTGACTTTTTAGTTTGCTCAATGTTACATCTGCTAACATGGAGGAGACAGGTTTTTTTTTTTTAACCTATACCACAGCCAGCCACCAGGACGTGATCCACATGTCCCTTTACACCCTTTTATTCCGATTTAAGAGTTACATGTTAAATTTCCACACGGTTATTATTTTGTCAGGTATCATTTTATGACATCAAAGCCTCACCCAGAAACTTGGCAACTGCGAGTTCTATTATACACTTAAAGTATAAGGTTGAGTAATTATCTGAAGTGACCAGTTTTACCAACGAAACACATTTATCACGTTCATACTGAAGGAACGAGGAAAACAAAAAGGAAAAGACGTCAGAGCTGGTGCTTTGCTTTACTCTTGCAGGTTGTGTTTTACTTTCATTGGGAGAAGATCCCAGACAATGAAACTGAGAAAACATGCAGCATCCTTCATATGAGCTCCAAAATTCAAAATGTTAATTTACAAATTATAGCAAAAATAGCAAAGAATATAAATACAAGCAATGTTGGTAATGTTTTTTATTATTTATGCAAATGAATAGGCTGAGATGAGTAAAAGTTTATGGGAATAGAAACATGCAGTATAATACACTTAAATGGTGGTACACAGTAGGAGGTAGCATATAGGATGTAAAAATAACTTTTTCTTCTGTATACTAGGTTAAAATAAAACTGAATGCATTGACATTTATTCCACATTGAATCATTTATGGTTGTTGACAGTTTCGGTGCGTGGGCCGCGGTGTCTCACTCCCCTGCCAGCTGTTCTGTTGCTGCTGGATCGAAGCACAAAGCAGGATCGGGTTGAGAGTAGAAACAATAGGCAATGGAAATATGTTCTGATGCAGGATGGGACATGAACCAAACTAAAGTCAAACAATGCCTAACATTGATTTTTTTCGTCGAAGATGAGTGTTTTTTGGAAACGTTTTGTTTTCTGATTTAACGCTAGAAAGAAATGGCGAGGATGTTTCGCAATCGGTCGAGCGCTGACCTGCCGACCTTCTCGCTCCAAACAGGGTCAAGAGTGCAAGATGTTAGCTTTGTTGTTGTAGGACGTGTTGATGCATTGTCCATTTAGTCTACGATCTTTATACAGGATGTCGTTCTTACTTTAACCTCATGAACACTGCTTCAACCCCCATTTCAGGCAGTGACAGACTTCAGTTGGACTTTGTTAACTAGCTGTTCGTGCCTGTGTGGACTCGTTACCACAAAATGGCGAGTAGGTTTTGCATCTTGAGATACATCGAGTCCACACAGACTTGGCGGCGTCTCCACATCAGTAGAGAAACAGAAACAACGCGCAATGGTCACCGCGATAAAAAAAGGAAACAAGTTCAAGCAGTCAGACTTTAATATGCACGCGGATAAACCCAGATAATCTTACACAGCATTTATGTTGCAACCTTCTCTGATGCTCTGCTGGCGGCACCGCACCTCCTCTTCTCACGATGAAATTCACCACACGAGCTTTGGAGACGGCCGTGCAGCAACCACGCCGCCCTACACGGAAACAAACACATGAACACAGATGGAGACGTCACCTGATATTCAACGTCAAATACCTCAGATAGCGTCTTGAGGGTTGCTGGCTCAAATGACACCAAAACAAAAAGAGATTGGCTTTTATTTCAAATCATATTTCTAACCACTAGATAAATTCAATTAAATCTCATGTGTGTGACTCTTTGAAAAAGGGAACAAAGTGTATTATGTCAATATTAGAAATAAACCAAAGGATGAGATGAATTAGCTCAATTAAATGTAATTAAAAATACAGAATACAATACAATCGAAATCTACTCTGTGACCATCCCCACAATCATTTTTTATTTCTGCAGACAATGACTGAGCCGCGTTGTACATGCACGTACACATGACCAGCGAAACAACTCCCAGTGTACGAACGGAGAGAAGCCTCATTTCACCAGAGACCAGAGGTTCTCACTACAGGAGCAGCGTGTCAGGGCGAAGTGTTGCCGTATTGTTCGAGATTCTCATGGGATTCACTGCCAGGGACACAGAGCTCGGAGGGAGGGCCCGTCTTACTTTTATGAATATGAATGAGTATTCAGTTACCTTACACAATAGGAGCTTTCAATATTTGAGGGAAATTTTAATCACAGAAAAGTAGATTTTTGGTTTCACTTCCCGATTATGCGAACGAGTCATCTGCATTTAAACACTGACCTTATTTCAAACATGTGGTTATCACCAAAGTTCCCTTTTTCCTGCTTTGTCCCATGGTGTGGTTTCCAGTGAAGTAACCAAAGAACGTCTTTGTCTGAGTCGTTCTTTACCTGTGACAAACATTATCATCGAACAGTTCATGGAGGTTTAAAGCTGCATTTCTGGATATATATTTTATAAATTATAGAGAAAGAGGAGGGTAAATGAGAATTAAAGCATTAAGGATTATCAGGGCTAACCATGTCACATTCAAGGAACGGTTATGATCTGGAACCTTGAAGTTCCTGACGTGAGTGTGGCTGCTCAGAGGCCAACATGCATTTTTATACCCACAACCTTGAGGAGCTAAAAATAGCCAACGAGCTAAAAATAGTAACAGATGATAGAAGTGGGACTGTCCAGACATGTGACCTTGTTTACAATGGAGAGGTGTGTAATGCTACTTCCTTGTTGGTGACGCAACTGTGAAACACAAAGGACCCAGGTCACAGTGTTGCAATGTGCAGCGTGTGCAGAATGAACCAGAGTCTGAATATGTTGATTTTCTTATGTGGAGGTGCAAATGCTCCCGTATGGAGGGAATGAAACTGTTTTTTAAAACCCTGACACGATCACACTCTTTCATTGAGCGTAACAGTGACCTTATCCTCTGCTGACAAGTGAAATGGCCCCTGTAATCATTCTCAGATTTATCTGCCAAGGACGTTTGCAGTGTCAGTTTGACTTTAATGGACGCTCCTGTCACATATACACATAAGACAACTTCAAAACAGAAACTGTTTAATCCAAATAACACAGCAATATTCTTATATTAACAATAGGTGACATTACAGACACATCCTGGAAATGTTTTCTGCAATAATTCGCAAATGTATAAAAAACTAGACCGGTGCTCAGTAATCACAAATAATTAACCTCTTTCACAATTAAAGTACTTTAAGATCATCAGCTGTACCCGCTGATTCATCAGTACGGACTGTTTCTATAGACATATAAAATTTTAATTCAGCGTTCCAGAAGTCAACAACAGGTGATTCATAAAAAGGTGTGTTGCTCAAAAGTAAATGTGCTTTTGCTGCTCATATATCATTTCACATTACTTCACTGTTCACACATTGACGTGGTGTGTAAGAGGATCCATCCGCCCACACGCAGAGGAATTATGGCTAATTATGAGAGGAGAAACGTCGAGAACACGCTGACCTCCTGGGCCCATAGATTGTCCTGGATACAAAAATCATGTGCCAATTAAGACGTCATCAGTCATCAATCTTCCAGGTTTAATATCTTCTCATATTTGCTTCTATTATTCACTTTTTAAGTTTGAAGGGATCCTGAGCGTCATGTTGCCATATTGTCAAAATCCTTTTACTTTTCCAAATGCAAACAAGGAAAGATTACACTTAAAGTCATTCAATTTCCTCAAAATGGAGTTCACACATCAAATATAGATCAGTTCCTCAGGGGATACAGCTGCTGTGTGAAGCCAGGGACTTTCTACTCGACCTCTCTTTATCTGCCCGATCTCTATTCAGGCTTATCTCAACTATGAGCTCCTGAGATATCGCCTCTCACACCATTCTCATGTGTAGCGGCGTTTTCTTTTCCCCAATCCAGATCACGACGGCACACACGACCACCACACCCTCCAACAGAGCCATGAAGGTATGTCATCACTGTAGTAATGATCCACGGGAAAGTCCTGCAGCTGGAAGCAAACCTTCCCGCCTGCGTGCACAAAAACAAACATGACAAACAGTGTTTAAAATAAGTTAAAATAAGAAATGTCTTATTTGGTCGGTTTATATTTATAGTGCATTCAATTAAATGCAGATTCAAATAAAATATAATATTCTATATTTAAATTGTAACTTTTCTAGTTGACATATTTTTTGTTGTTTTAAAATACCGTGTTTTGTTTATTTCTCACGCAGAATATAAAAGGGCAAAATATATCTTGAATTGGTTTTCATACTTATTTTTTATGACAAATAAAAGACTTAGTGAAGGTTATCAGTTTAATCAATCTAATTATTTTATATTTGATTGAACTTTCATTACAGAAGTCAAGCTTCATCTCAAACAAACCTACTCAAAGAGATTAAACCTGAGATAACTGGTTTTCTTAACGTCCTACAGGGGCAGAGACCGTCACATTATTTTCACATTGTCCTGAAATATATTATTTTCATAAACACATTGATTATAGACACTTCAACCTGACTTGTGGTTAAGTCTCACCTATTTAACTACAGTTTAAATTCTCAAAATACAAAACATTGACTCTGGATTTTTTCAGGTCTATAATCTGCTGTTATATTTCCACCTGAGGATAAAAGCTGGTCAGGTTGCAACTATTCCTTTGTCTGTTTGCTGGCTCCGTCCTAACACCTCTACACTCACACTTAGAACTCCTTCGTCCTGCTCAACGGGGGGAAATCCCCAACGAGCCTATTTAATGGCAGAGCACACTGCTTCTCTGTCACTCTCTCACCTTAACGCCTGAAGTCTCACACTGACACAGAGCCCGCGGAGCAAGCAACATGCGTTTCCTGGCAGCGTTGTGCACCCTCGTCATCCTCAACACCTTCATCTGCATCACTCAGTCAGGTGAGTCCAGCTCTTGTGCTCATCTTGTATATTATTGTTGTGCATTTTAAAGCTTTATCAAATTTTATATTAAACTTTTTTTGTTGTTGCAAATGTTGTGTTTGACAAGGTTGCTCATACAGAACGTTTGTCTGCTTTCGTAGCGAGCTGCTGTGTGAGTTACAGCAAGCGTCCGTTGAAGTGCCACCGGCTGCTGGGTTACACCATCCAGACCATCAACACTTCCTGTGACATCAGTGCCGTCATGTGAGTTCGCGGTCCATCATGACATCACGTCACTAAACTGAGAATTAGGACAGAAATCATGACTAGTAGCAGTTTTCCTTAGATATAAATGACTTTGGTGTGATAAGAATCAATATAGGAACATTGTGCATCAGGCCTCTTAAACACAGCTAACCAACACACGTGTGACAAACATGTGGATGCATCCAGATGTTTAAGTTTATATATTGTCCAGGTAAAGTGGCAGCTAGTGTGTTCAGCTCAAACTGCAGTAAATACCTGAGACACTCTGAGGTTAATGAATAAACTGGAATGAATACACAAACAGGGAGTGAAACGTTATCTCGGGTGAGGACTGAAGACTCCCACGTGTCTCATGTGTTTTCTGTCTTTCCCACAGCTTCCATGTTAATGGGAGGTTCGTGTGTGCCGACCCTTTAAAGAAATGGACCCAGAGAGGGATGAGCTGTGTGGAGTGAGTATTAAAACACTTCTCTCTACAGTGTGCTCGATTTGTGTTTCTTCTGTACAGTATTTTGTATTTGGAAAATCACTTTTTAGTTTATATACATGGAGACTTTTTTAATTTCTACAGATTAAAGCTTCTAATCAGACTTTTATATGAAACTGTGCTGAGCAACAGCGCCCTCTGCAGCCACATGTGTGGATTCATTCTGTTGCAAGTGATCAGATGGTTTTCATGTTGAACAAAAACAAAGCCTAAAAATGTCTCAATGAACTAAGTTCATGTTTTGTCTTTACAGTGAAATGAGGAAGAAGAAGGCTCAGATCCTCAAAGACAGAACTCATGGATCAGCATAAACTCATTCAAACAGTCAATGTCTATTTTTATATATTATTCACAACAAGAACATAATTTACTCGTGGTTAATATATTGTTGTTCTTATTTTGATCATTTTAAATTATATGATTTTGTGTTCTGTTTTATAAACAGGGAAGAGTAGTAGCTGTAGCTACAGTGCATTATGACGAAAACAAAACAAGGAAGGAAATATTGTTTATGAAAACTACTGCAATTTCTTTTTTGAATGTTTGTTTTATTTACCAATTCTGACACTCCCATATTGTGGGTTTACGTTTTAAATGTAAATATGAATATTAAAATGTTAACTAATTAAAAGATTTAACAAAACGTATTTATGTTAGTATGGATTTTCTACATTTACACTACATAAAAACTTCTAACTATATAGAACATTATAAAAGAATTTAAAAGTTTGGCAAAAGGTAACACTGCATATTAAATCATGTACAATCAACACTGTCATAGTCTGAAATATGAAGTAATACAATTACTGAGAACTGTATACGAATACATGTACTGAAGGTTCATGTACATAAACAAATGGTGCCATTAAAACAGCGACTTACTCAAAAGTATCTATGTTCGTACTTGGCAACAACACTTGGCTAAAAGTACTTAGTTACTTTCACTGCTTTTAAATAGACTGAAATTTGTTTATCACCTCAAAACAGAATACTTCGGAAACAGGGAAATAATTTTGCAATTATTAGATCATTAGCAGGAAGTAGTGATTTTGCTCACTCGAGTGACGATCATACTGTAATGCCAAACAAGAAAAGAGACTTTATATGGTAACACAGTTTGCATGTTTATGGCTGAGTCATTAATTTATCACGCTTGGTGATCAATGCAATATTTGGCAATAAATAGTCAAGGTAGCCTTCTTTGGACGGATGTTTTCCATTTTTATTGTTTGAAAGGAGCCTAATAAAAGGCCAACACGACTCAAACTAGCCCTTAGTGGCTTGAAACCTGAACCAGTGAGAGTTTTCATTTTACCACTGATTATCCACCACAGTGAGGCGGAAGCTCTCGTCTGCTTGGTCCTCTCTGGTCCTCAGAGCCTGTCGCAGCTTCTCCCAGAACAGCTCGGTGTGCTCGGCGGCTCGAGGCCAGCTCAGGTAGCTCATCTTGTTCAGCAGCTTCTTCATGCGGTAGTAAGGAGACAGCTCGTCGGTGGGAATGTCCTCCAGGAAGACGAGGATCAACACGTCCTTCTGCTCATCAAACAGACGGAAACTAGACGGGAGAAACAGGAACTACATATCAAAATTCATTCTGACATTTACAACCACATGCCATGAAATTTGTGTAATTCCTCTAAATTAAACAGCTTTTAAAAATTGTAGTCACTTCAAACACAAAAACCAAAATACAACAAGAGCCCATGAACTGCAGTTCCAGATCCAGCCACGAGATGTTCCCCAAACCTTTCCTCCCTTCCTGGTCACCTGACCGTCCCCACCCACTCACACACCTGTTTCCTGTTTGCTCATCAGCTCCCCACTATTTAAGCAGCCCTCACCAGGACGTTCACTGTGGGGTTTGTTCTCGTCCAAGGTGAGAGTTGCAATTGAAGATACTTTAAAGCTTTGCTAACAGTAAATGTTTAGATTTGCATTCACTGTCTGCAGGGATGACCAACATTATGCTTCATGTATCCCACACGCTTACTTCACACAGTCTGTGAGCTGACACGTTACCTGGCAACCTGCATCTCTCTGGAGCACCACTCACTCTCCAGGTATCTGCGACTGATCACACAGATGGTCTTCCTGCTTCCATAAATGGCATCTACGATGTTTTCTACGATGGGTTTACCTGAGGATGAGAAAACTTAAATGTAAAGTAAATAGCAACAGTGATAACAAATCATAATCACTGCTGCACAGCGTCTTCACGAGGCAGATGAGTACATTCAGCTCCACTGACAGAGGGAGGCTTTTATCCCCCCAAGGCCACAAGACACTTAAGTTTTGAAGCCACTCTTACTTCTAATTCAACAAAAACCACAAATCAGTATTTCAGCAACTTTATTTAGGCTCATTTATGGTCAACATTAGATACGTATATGAAAATGGACAGAGCCTTCTCGTCCGTACTTGTGCACTTCTAAAAGCTTATGGAGGCAGAGACAGTTACATAGTTTGGAACAGATGTACCACAAATAGCCTTTACTTGCCAACACCTTAAGCTTGCTAGATCTTAAAAATCCAAGCGCTTCAATTGACTCCATTTTGAATCCCATATTAAAATGCACCTGGCTGGAGCAAAGAGGCTGTAAAGTCTCACCTGGCATGAAATCTCGATGGTGCAGACACAACCTCCAGCCCTGTTCTCCCTCCAGTTTGGGCAGCAGCTCTCTCACGACCCAGGGTTCGTCATGAGTGTTGTAGGAGATGAAGGCGTCGTACTGATTAGGAGGCTGCTTGTTTTTATGCTTTGTGTCAAAGAGCAAAGCCAAGAAGAAGTAGTACGCGTAGGCCAGGTGCCACCTCAGGAAATGGTAGGTGAAGGACGTCAGCATAAACAGGAGGGTTGTACACGTGGTGGATAAAAACATGAGGAATCCGGCGTCTACGGAGCAGGACCGAATGTCGAAGTGCAAGAGTTTAGTGCCTTTAAGGTTCAGGGGATAGTTGCACTCAAAGTTATAGGCATCAAAAACCTGTGTTTGATTGTAGTATTCTACCCACTTGATGAACCAGGCGTTATCACATTTACAGGTAAAACTGTTCCCTTGAAAATCTGCATAAACAAGACTTGGTACAGACTTTATTATTTCTTCACTGATAATTGAAAATTCATTCTTTCTTGCCTGCAGGAACTCCAGCTTGGTCAGGTTGGCCCCTGTTAGATAATCGAGGGACCTAAGATTTGTTCTGGAAACGTAAAGGCTTTTAAGATTTGGAATCGGGGAAAACAAATCTGGGGAGAGATCCATAAGCTCATTTGAGCTTATGTCAAGTGTTGTCAGCTGTGGCGTTCCATTAAACATGTCTTTGTGCAAGGATGCAAGTTGAATGTTCCTGATGTTGAAAACCAACAGATTGGTCAAACCCTCCAATAAGTTACGAGGCAATTGAGACTTCCCTTTGCCGTGTTGGGAAGGAATAGCCAATGTCTCCAGACGGGACAGCCGAGAAAATGGCGCACTAGGCAAAGATGAATTATTCACATATTTTATGTGATTGTCCCTCAATTCCAATCTTCTTAAATTTATCAGATCATTGAAAACACCTTTGCTTATTTCAGTTTCTCTAATCTGATTATTCTGTAGCAGGATATCTGTAAGATTTGTCAATCCAACGAAACAACCTTTATCAAGGTTAAATATTTTATTTTCGTGTAATGACAAGTTCTGGAGGGACTGCAAGCCGCGGAATTCTCCATGTTTAAGGGCAGTGAGTTGATTTCCATTCAAAAGCAGTTGTCTAAGATTTGGCAAGCAATCTCTGAAAGCACCATTTAAATTGGACAAGTGGTTGTTTTGTAGCTTCAGAACTTGCAATTGTACTAAGTCCTTGAAAACGCATTCTGCAAGAGATGTGATTGAATTATGATAAAGGCGTAGTCGTCTCAGCTTTGTCTGATTGGCAAAATCATCACATCCAAGTTTGGTTATGTTGTTGAAGCTGAGATCCAACTCTCCAAGACTTGGTAGAGTCCTTGTAGCGTATGGAACCGATGAAAGTTTGTTTCGACTCAGACTCAAGGTCTTAAGACTCTGAAGAGAACTGAAGGCATCGTCTCGGATTTTTTTGATCTTATTATCTGTTAAATCTATCTCTCTTATATTAAAGCACAACTTAAACAAATCTGAACTGACATAAGTGAGTTTGTTGTGGCGGAGCTGCAGCGTGGACAGTGTTGGGATGGTGCAGGAAATGTGAGTTAGCGCTGTGATATTGTTTTTCATAGCATTCATCCTTAGAGATGATAGTGAGGAGTTTACCGTCCCCAGTAATGTTCTAATGTCAACAAGAGTCATTCGAAGCCCAGTAATATCAAGAGTAGACACTCGACTAAAGAAAGTCTTGTTACGCACGCCCAAGATCACTGGAGTCTTTCCAGGAGCTCCTCCGATGTTAAGCCAAGTAAGATTTGGAAAAACGTTTGCAGTGATCTGAAAATCTGTGATTGGATTCTGGGACAAGTCGAGGGCTTTAAGTTGTAATGAGCTGTTCGTCAGTTCCTCTGAGTGAAAAGTGGTGAAATCATTTTTTTTAAGAAACAGTTCACGCAGATTTGGAAGATGCTGTATTATTGATCTGACTTTCGTGATGTGTTTCAGTTTGTTGTGAGAGAAGTCCAGAAACTTTAAGCTATTCATGGGCTTGAAAGACGTCAGGGTCACAGCTTTGATGCCATTACTCATGATTCTGAGCTCGGTGAGGTTGCTCAGACCATGAAAAAGATTCTCTCCCAGAGTCACAAGTTTATTATTATTTAGATTTAACTTCTTGAGGAAAATCAGATTGGCAAAGGCTCCGTCGTCTATCTGCGAAATTAAGTTGCGATTGAGGTCCAACTGAGTCAAACCTGGCAGATTTTCAAAATCTGACACAAGTACTCTTAAAATCTTGTTTTCAGACAAGTCAAAACCTTTCACTGCTGAGGGAATATCTCGAGGAGCAGCTGTGAGTCCCATCTTGTCACATTTGGCAATGTTGTAACTGATTCGGCAAGTCTTCAGTGCAAATCCCGAGATTGGAGCAAGCAAACTGCTGATAGTCAGCAAAAAGAAAAACGTGACAAGTTGGAAATGTTTTCTTCCTCCGGTTTCTCTTTCATCTTCTTTCCCTCCGGGACCCATTTTTAAATCCAGTTTACAAAGTGAAGTCCGTCCAATAAGAATTTCCACTGTTTAGTCCAGTTGCTGGTAAAACACTGAAAATTCAATAAAACAGACAAACTCATAATTTTATAATAAAGGGTTTTCAAATTCTGATCAGTATATCTTGTGGGAACAGACACCTATGAGGAATAATAGTTTGATACTTACTGCGTCAAATAAAGAAGAGATTAAACAGCCTTCTTAAATCCACTATATCCAGTCTTGTTGTTTAATCATCTTCAGTCAAAAAATGTAATTGTCAATTAAAAATTCGAGTAAAAATCTAATTGATCTGTTTCTGTTTAATTTCCAGTGTGAATGAGAAAAGTGTTCGTCTCTCTGTGTAGCTCAACACCTTTCCTCCGCCCGTCATCTCTTTTTATTTGATGGAGGGGGGATTTTTTAGGAAGTGAAAGTTGTTGACAGGGTTGGACATCTGACCTCTGAAGTTTTAACAAACATGAAACATTTTAAATTTGTAGTTTTTGGGATATTTAATTCAGCATCGTATACTGTTATTATTATATTTTATCTTTAAGTTAATGTTAATTACCTTCTTTGTACTATAGTCGGTTGAGCTCCTTCTGAATTCTCCCCATTCCTTTTTTACATGTACAGTGAGTCATCTATTTCCTCACTTCCTCAAAAATTCAGCAATGACTAAACAAATTGAGACCAGAGTCTTTCCTTCAAAACCGACACTTCCCCTTCTTTGCTGCTTCACTCATACTCTCCCTCCAGCAAATATATGGACTTCTGAGATATCTTACTTTAGTTTATCTAAATAACATGGGGCAAAGATGTGGTGCATTAAGAAACCGGTGTAGAGAGACACAAAGGCTACACTGATAGTAGCTGTGTCCCAGTTCAGGGACTGCGTCCTTAGGAGGCTCATTTGAAGACAGATTGCTTTTACAGACGGGTGCCCTGTCTAGGCTGCACCCTTTCGAAGAGTTCTTCAAAATCGGTCAAAAATGTGTCCTTCCATTCCCGACCCACGCATCCCTCTCGGACTATTCCCAGATTGATTGGGGGCCATTGACAAAGCTGCAGTTCAAAGTAGCTATGGATGCAACAGTAAGGATTTCATATTTGCTACTGATGGAAATCCTCTGTGGAGCACGCCGTCTTATTTTGGTTCGGCCTTCTTTGTTTATGGCAATGTCTTCATCTACTCCTTTGTAAACCCAGTCCTCTGATGAGGCAAGTTTCCCTTATGAGTAATATATACTTTAGTAATATAGTAAATTCCGAAATGAAGAAATTATGCCACTGAATGAAAATGCCCCTTTCTGTGTGGTAATGAACAACAGTGACTCAGCATTGCTTCTTAGTCTTCACAAACGTAGCAGTAGGGAAATCATAGCTTGTAAAGACAAATTCTGTCCTTTTGTTGTCACGGAGTCAGAGAAGCCACCAGTGTACAGAAAATTATTTATTATGGGAACTAAACTGTCAATTTATCCCCTTATGTCAGCCGTCGTCCCTTCTCAAATCCAATTTTTCACTTCCCAATTCATGTATTATCATTCATAGTTGCTGAACTGAGTTATAGTGTCATTGTGTCGTCTATGAACATTTCTGTTAACCTAAAGTCTGAGAACTGTGACGATAACAATGTAGTTGACATTAAAGTTCATTGTGGCAAAACGTAAATATATCAACACTTATTCAAACACACATAAACTCCAATCAGAGCTTTTTGTGAGGTTTAAAAGTAAGTTTCTAATATAGAGTTTTTAAACCAACATGAGGGAATTTTACGTTTATATATATGTATGTGTGTTTATGAGGTAAAAATGTAAAGACCTTAATATACTGTCCATGCAGTATTTAGTCGTGTGTAGTATTTGGTAGAGTTGAGTACTTTATTTCTTGATTTTATTTCACAAGTTCCGATTAGATAAACAGGACGATGGCCCTGATGAAATCTTAACTTCTGCATTTGGTTCCCGTCTTTCTTCAATTTGCTCTTTTATGCTAAGCTAATCAGTAACAAGTTAACAGTTGCTGACTGAGTGTCCAACATGTGGACGTGTTTAAATCCTCGCGTCTATAGTTCCTAGTTTATATTCTGGACCACAGACTCTAAATAAAGACGGATGACAAATGTCCACTTCCTCCTATTATCCAGAAATGCAGCCATGTTATTCTTGATGTGAATGTTGCTTTAGTGGAGCCAGAGTCTGCACAGTACTTAATTAACACTTGAACTGCACAAAATTACAGAAACCACCTTTTGATGTGCGCTTTGACTTTTTAGTTTGTGCCATCCACTAACATGGAGGAGGCAGGGTTTTTGCTCTGATTGATTGACTTTGGCTTCACTTTTGGGGAGCTGTCACGTCATCCATCTTTATGTCCTGGTCTACAGACATGGAAAAACCTGGTCTAATCTTTTATTCCCACTTTGATCGTCACTTTTATGAAAACCCTGAACACATCACACCAAATGTAAGTTTCCAGCTGCAGCAGAGCTTGAACATCTTCTTCCCTTTTCACCAGCAGAGGTCACAGTTGGGAAAGGAAACGTTCTTTTCTTCGTTCACTGGATTCCAGCCTCTATAGTTTGTGTGTGTGTGCATTCATCCACCTACAGAGGAGATGACGCAGCAGTGAATCAAATCACAAGAAACCAGATCTGATTTTTATCTCCAGTGATTCTTGTCTCTTCCGTTTGTTGAAGCTAAAACTGTGTCTGCAGCGAACTTGTGCGACTTCATTTCAGCCTGTTGTTGCTAAAATGCATGAGAGGTGAGTGGGTCCTCCTTTAACACACATAACCACACTAATAACACAATAAATATTTAATAATAATAATATTCTAATTATATAAGGTGAAATACTACAGTGTGTTAAATTGACATCCCACAGGGAGGAAATAGAGATCTAAAGGGAAAAACACCACCTTATATTAGTGTCATAAGAATTCCTGTAGATTAATTTAAAGATATTATGAGATTAAGGGTATTTAGACAAAGAAAAGGCCGCTAACGTTGGTTCAGCTGTAAATTACAAAAGGACTATCTAGCTAGTTTTAGAAATATGGCTCACTGTCACAGCTGATTTAAATGTCTGTATGATCGACAGGTTATTTCTGTTATAGTCTGAACATTTTCACTGTTGAATTGAATAGAATTGAATACGACTGTTGGGCCTTGGCAGAGGTTTGAGCTCTACTGAGTGACATTCTTGTTCATTTGTTTGTGGCATTGTGAACAGGATAAAACAAAAACTGTTGGTCTGAGGATGGAGCACGGCCCAAGAAAGAACCCAATCAATTTTTGAGTGAATCCTGAATTCTTTTAACCGCTCACTTCAAATTTATGAGATTGTTTTTTGACAATTTACACAGGGAATATTCCAGTGATCTTCACGTCTGATAGTAGTGAGTGTGCAATTTGATGCAGCTCAATCGAATTGAAGGTGACTGTGGGGCCTACAGACTGAGTGCTATCCTAGATTGAATGAGCCGGACAAACAAAACAATGCAGAAGCATCCAGACACTTAAGATCTGGAAATTAGGCTCACTCCATCACTGCGATCTAATGAGATGTAAATGCAGATAAATGATCTTATGGAGTGGAGGTGTGGGAGGTGGAGAGGTTGGCAGAGGAATTAAGTTTCCTCACGCAGCGGAAAGAGAGTCGATACATCATGTTGTCATATTCCCAGAGGTGATACTCAATTCAATTCAAAAGTTTGATGTTTGCAAATCATTAAAATCATCAGGAACATCTCTCTCTCTCTCTCTCTCTCTCTCCCATAAACACACTCACACACTTCCTCTCTCTGTCACTCACACACATCCTTATTAAACATCTTCTGAGAATATCTCTTCCCCTCATATCTCCACGGTTCTATCTTTTCCAGAGGGAAATGCACCGGTGTGTTGTGCGCGTAGAGCCACCCACTGGGTGCACGGTGTTATCATATCTGGAGAGAAAGAGAGAGGGAGGGAGGGAGAGAGAGAGAGAGGGAGAGAGAGAGGTGCAGTTGTATATGTGGAGTCCGGTCTGACTTATCCACAGTGTCCTCCACTGCTGCTGCCGGTGACGGAGCGTTTGCGCACACACACCTACACACACTCCTCTCCATCTCTGTCTCACATGCACGCACACACACCGGGAAGCCAGGATCGGGTTGGTGCACTAAAGAGAGAGAGAGAGAGAGAAAAAAAAAGAGAGAGGGGGGGAGAAAGGCGACACATGTCAGACCGGATCGCGCAGGGGAATGTACCGGATTCCGCTGCACACACGCCCGGGCTGTCCCGCTGCTGCGCTGCGTTAACGGGACACGACACCGGACTGTGCCAGGGGCGACAGGGGAGCCGGACCGGGATAGTGTGAGGGGAGGGGTGGGGGGTGGTAGGATAAGGAGTCACCTGGCTGCAGATAGAGGGAGGGGAGGAAGGCAGGGAGGGGTCGGGGGAGGTGTGCCCGCCTCACGGAGCTCTGTTGTCGGCTTTGCGACACCGCTTGCGCGCAACGGAGACTCCGCGCAAAGTTTCCTCGATGGCGCTGGTGATGGAGCCGGTGAGCAAATGGAGCACGAGCCAGGTGGTGGACTGGATGAAAGGTACCCACGCACACGCACACACACACGCACGCACGCACGCACATCCCTAATGAATAGAATTAATTACAGTCCCTGGATGCACATACTGAGTGATCGTGACATTAATGAAGGAGAAACAGAGGCGATGTTATGATGCGTGGGAGCTGTGTGTGTGTGTGTGTGTGTGTGTGTGTGTGTGTGTGTGTGTGTGTGTGTGTGTGTCCATGCATCATCCATGCACCTGATGATCACTGGGTGGTGATGTAATGTGAAAATGACTGAAGGAGAATCAGCCTAAGTTCACTGCTGAGTGCAGGGGCGGCTGCAGGAACTTCTGATGTGTGGGGGCACAGATTGAGGGGGGGGTGGAATGGGGGGGGGGGGGGGGGGGGCATTTGGTAAACGAGAAAAAATATGTTGAAGCTCAGATTTTAAATGGAAAAGTAATTGGCAAATCAACGAAGTGACAGGTGCTTTGTAGAAGAAAAGTAAGAGGTCAAAAGGTTATGGACAAAAACTCCTTGACGTTGGTTGTCAACCGCTAATAAACCAAAGAAAGAAGAAGCGTGCTGGAGTTTTTTCCGAGACGTAAGATTCTGATTTAAAATGGTGGTTCTGGCATTTTGTCACTGTCTGTGTTTTATATAATTTTGTCTGTGTTGTCACTCGACTTTCCAGCAGGAAATGTTCCCAGTGGCGTAACGAGGTTTTGATTCAAAAACGCCTCATGTAACATCCTCTTTAACCTCGACCACATCTTATATTGTTGTTA